ATTATACTAGGATAGATTCGCATAGTTTTATTTCCAATTTCCAGTTAAAAGTGTATCCAAACGAATTAAACGAGGCTAATTGTAACAAAGTTCACTTGAAGATGAAAACGTCAAGGACAAACGATACACTCTGCTCTCTTAGTGCACTGTACATCGATTATCTAGGCATTCATATACAGATTACGATCGATTCTCTGATTATTCGATTATGCAAAGTGAAATGTCGAATCACGCCGAATGACGCGAAAGCAAACGTTATTCAGTTACTTACGTTAACGAGTGAGCTCGGTAACGTGTTTGGGAATAAGAGACATAAAAAGTACGAGCCGTTCTCTCATCCTGATTTAACTTCCAACGAAATTAAACCCTTTGTTCGATGCACGATCGGTGAAATCGTACTTTGCGTTTGACAGATTAATTACTCGGCTTGCGTTATTCAATTAACCAATCTCCCATTACATTCCCGTTCCGTAACAAGTCACCAATAGATAGGAATAAATTGTTCCTCGCAACGTCCGTGTGTTTTGATTTAACAAATCGAGAGATCGAACACTACGTTATATTAGCAATTATACTATCGTTTAAACAGTAGAACTTTCGGCGTCACATCAGTTCTCGAATTAATTACAACTATTAATAATATATTAAAATTCAAAAATTCTTACGGTTTCGCAAATATTGTTACCGGTTCATGAATTAGCTGTTAGATGTAACAAAAATATTAATATAAAATTAATTATAATCATTGAATTATTAGGTGTTAGATGTAACAACGAATGTGAAACGTTAAATCGTCGAAAATATTAATATAAAATTAATTGTAATGATTGAAATATATTCAAAAATATTATATCATTAAAAATGTTTAAAAACATTATATTTACAATCGTTAAAATGTATTCAAAAATGTAAAATGTATTCTTAAGATTTCACAAGTATGGTTACCTTACCGGTTTATGAATTAGGTGTTAGATATAACAACGAATGTGAAACGTTAAATCGTCGAAAATATTAATATAAAATTAATTGTAATGATTGAAATATATATTCAAAAATATTATATGATTAAAAATATCTAAAAACATGATATTTTCAATCGTTAAAATGTATTCAAAAATTTTTAAGATTTCACAAGTATGATTACCTTACCAGTTTATGAATTAGATATTAGATTACAATGTAATAACGAAATATTAAATCGTCGAAAATACTAATATAGAATTAATTACAATCAATTAGAATACATTAAAATTCAAAAATTCTTACGGTTTTGCAAGTATTGTTATCTTATCGGTTTATGAATTGGGTGTCAGATGTAACAACGAATGTGAAACGTTAAATCGTCGAAAATATTAATATAAAATTAATTGTAATGATTGAAATATATTCAAAAATATTATATCATTAAAAATGTTTAAAAACATTATATTTACAATCGTTAAAATATATTCAAAAATTCTTAAGATTTCACAAGTATGACTACCTTTACCGGTTTATGAATTAGGTGTTAGATGTAACGACGAATGTGAAACGTTAAATCGTCTAAAATATTAATATAAAATTAATCATTGAAATATATTCAAAAATATATCGTTAAAAATGTTTAAAAACATTATATTTACAATCGTTAAAATGTATTAAAAGATCTTTAAGATTTCACAAGTATGGTTACCTTACCAGTTTATGAATTAGATATTAGATTACAATGTAATAACGAAATGTTAAATCGTCGAAAATACTAATACAGAATTAATTATAATCCATTGATATTAAAAAATTCTTAAGATTTCACAAGTGTGGTTACCTTTACCGGTTTATGAATTAGGTGTCAGATGTAACAACGAATGTGAAACGTTGAATCGTCGGGCATACTAGAGGGCGAGTTGCTCGTTTGTGAAATCCACGCGGACGAAGCAACAAATTACCTTCTATTGCAAAGTTCGGGGCCGTTCGACGATGTTTTGCCTCTCCGACATTAAATGCGAACACGCGATCAAAGGATGCAAGGCACGATAGAACAAGGCTCTTGTAATTCTGTCTCGCGCGTACACACAGTTTAAATTTCTATTTACTTTTACAACGAAAGTTCCTCGCCACGAGATGCGAGCAGCTCGCGCAAGTTTAACAGCCCCCTCCTCAGTGGAAAGAGTAAATGGCTTTTTCTCTCCGCTCGACGCAACCGCCCGAGCCGACGGCTATTACTTACGAAACTTTCTTATCTTTATGTCTGTAACTCGTCGGACCCTGATGGCTTCCTTAACGAGACGGTATACAACGACTGTCGAGAGGCAGAGAGAGAAAACCCTGTAAAGAACCGCATTTTTCATGCGGCAGCGTGATGCATCGACGTTGCGAAGGAAAGAAGAGGGCGACTCGGCCCCATTTCTTGCACGCTCGACTCGAAACGACGAAACGATATTTCTTACAATCTGTGTTACCGACACAGCCGATTGTTCCGCCTGCGCCGATTGACGGCCAACTTCTGTTTTTCCAATATATTTGCACACATTTGCATAATCTTTCTCGTAGAGAGCTTGGAAACTTGGAAAACCGTGATGCGATCGTCACGGTTATATCGGTCAAATTTGAAACAGCTATAATTCAACTTCTGTGGAAAAATGTGGATGGCAAAATGAAGACACTTTTCTTCTCCAAAATCCTATAAATTGTCTCAGACGTACATAAATTTTTCTCACGATTTTTCTTCAATCTTGTATTGGATTTGAAGCCTCCAATTTGCAACGATCGCTCGAAAGTTGCTGTACGATCTTTCTACGGCCAATTTATCGAACGTTGACTATCAGACGAAAACGAGTACAACGATGAACGTTCAAGTAGCGAAAAGTCATTCCCGTCAAGTTTTTGTTAACGGGAATTTTTTTGTAAAGGGGAGGCTTCAATCTTCAAGATCCATTGTAGGAGAAAGATCTCCAAACCCGTTTCAGTCAAACATTTTCCTCGAGAAGAGAGATTTGCCTTCTGCATAATATAAAATATACCGCATAATATAAAAACATCTCAGACTAAAGCAAACGACGCGCTTTAACAGCAGAAAGACATTCAAGCTTTACCATTTCAATATTTCAGTGTTCGAATGTTCAATGGGAGTCACTGTGTATAAAAGTTTCGCGATATTCACTGGAAATCGTTGCAAGTCGAAGAACCGAACCGATCGATTTTCAAAACTCGATCAATTCACAGCTGTTTGTAACTGAATGGACTGGAGCAAGAGTCGCATCAGTTTCCCTGCAGCGGATGACGTCACGATTTCACGAGCTAAAATTTCTTTCCGAACGATCGGACGAAGGAGAAGACCGGTAACTGGAAACCTGTGTTCGAATCGAGCCATGAATGCGAACAATTTCGACAGGGTTGATAAATTCTCGTGGCTTTGCCGAGTACGAGCGAAAAAAAAAAAAAAAA